GTGGCACTGAGCACGACCTCTTGCTCAGCAGGATGGCGACCTCTTCTGCGCATCCGACCTCTCAGCACTGAGGTGCCCGGTATTGCACTCTGTCCAGAAGGATGTTCTCCTGCTCCTTGGTGGTGACATTGTGTCCTGTACTCCTGTGATTGTTGCTGTGCAGTCGGGCTAGTGCTATGATCTAATTGTGATGAGAGCGTAGGTGCCCAGCAGTTTGCTAGTGAAGGGCAGATGCATCAAGCAACAGCATCGCCTGATGAGGTGGTGGGGTGTTTTCTGCTGGCAGTTGTTGAAGTGTATATGTGGATTGCCTAGCCCTTTCCATCAGTTCGGACTTTTGGGGCTAGTTCATGAAGCTTAACATGGTATCAGGGCCTAAGGTCTTGAGTTCAAGTCCTGACTCTCGCAATTTATCTAAAAATTGTTGCACCCCCCTTTGTGTCCATGTCTAGGCCTCTTGAGCCATACCTCTGAGTCTATGTGATAGCCTGGCTTATTAGGGATGATAGACTACTCGTATCAATAAGGAATTCCTTCTTTTTCGGAAGCCCATTCGGATAGAACTCCAAAGTTAAGCGTGCTCAGCTTGGAGTAATTTCAGGATGGGTGACCGACCGGGAAGTTGCTCTCGGGTGCGCACGAGTGAGGACAAAGGGGCTGTTTGGTTCTAGGCCTAACCATGCCACATTTTGCCATATAATATTGCCACACTTGCCTAAGGTTAGTTCTTCAAAATGAGAGCCACAAGTTGGCAAGCCTAAGGGAATCTTGCCACACTTTTTGAGTGTATGTGATGTGGGACCCTAGTGTGGCTTGCCTAAGGTGTGGCTTGAACCAAACACCCACCCAAGTTGGTCAAACTTGCCTAACCTTAGATGTGGCAACCTTAGGCAAATTTAGTCTCAAACCAAACAGCCCCAAAGTGCGCAGAAAAGAGTAGTATTGATCTGTGGGGCCAGTCTAGATCCCGCCAGGAGTAACGACCACCGGCGGGTGTGTCCGGGGCGTTACAGTCTATCCATGTGTTGACTTCCCGCGTCACACGTGAGAGGGGGGGTTGAAGTGTATATGTGGATTGCCTAGCCCGACCACCGGCGGGTGTGTCCGGGGCGTTACAGTCTATCCATGTGTTGACTTCCCGCGTCACATGTGAGAGGGGGTGTTGAAGTGTATATGTGGATTGCCTAGCCCTTTCCATCAGTTCGGACTTTTGGTTACGTTGGCTAGTGCATGAAGCTTAACAGCAGTCACCTCCGTGTGCGTCTGAGCGAAAGCGCTGCTGGTTGCCTCGCACCATTGCCAGATGAGGCGCTGGGCTGCTTCTTGCCGGTGGCCTTCATGCAGAGCACCCATCACTACCAGATGAACATTATTGTTTCTTGCCTCACGTTGCTGAGATCACATTCACTAACTTCAGTGAGGCTAGTTCAACTCCAGCGTCAGCATCACCTCTCCTCTTTCAGTTCTTTCGAGTTGCCAATCACATCTTTGGAATCTTATGCTTGCCATTTGCTTCTCTCAATTTATTGTTGCCACAAACTTCTTTCAAATATATCCTCCCCTGTTGTTTCTTTCTGCATTCTCAGCTTAATCATCTTCTTCATCACCAGTGTGTTACTTTGGAATGGCTTGGGATGGGCTGGGTTGGGATTTCATGCCAAGGAACTGTCTATGAACAGGGCTTATTCAGAACATGTAGCATCTTCCCCATTTACTGCAAGGACAGTTACAACTTACACTAATAGTATCTTGTGGCTCCACTTTTTTTTGCTGACCTAACTGGTGTTTGCGTAGTGGCATGCATTTATTGAGTTGCAAATGTTTTTGCTGTCTTATGAATTTAGCATTTTGTCAATGCGAGTGTAGTCTTGTTGCACTCTAATTCAATTTATTGTCCTCGCAGGGCATACGGGATGCAACTCTTGATTTACTGCACATCCTTGTAGCTGTACATGCCGAGGTTTTTATCATTTTCCTTTTCTTCCTTTCATTATTTTAGCATGTGACACAACTATCTTTCCAGGAATAACATGCGTAAAAATGGGCAGATTTCAAACTTTTTTTTAGTCCGATGGGTTCGTTATGTCCACTTCTGCAGTTCTGCTAAGCTTTCTATTGTGCAAGTAAAATGGACAGATTTCAAACTTTATTTTATTTCTGTTTATCTGATAAATATAGGAAAAATACCTTTATATTATAAACTGGATCAATATTTTTCTGCTTAATGAATACTCAGAGATCCTGATGTTTCCGTAAAAAAGTTAGTCTGTAAGGTGGCTGGTATTAAGTACTAGACAGGGCATTTTCAGTGGTAGCTGGACCTGGTCTCTGTCCTGGAATTTGACAATTTTTGAAGAACTTGGTAACACTGCATTATGTATTTTAATTCTGTTTCCAGTGATGCTATGATGTATTTGTTCTATAACCCAAATTAAAACCATTGTATTTCATTCTGGATAACTTTTGTCTGGATCCTGTTTCCTACTTATACACTAAATAAACACTAATTTAAAACTCTAGGGCCGCTTGTTTTCAGAAACCGCATGACAGGTTGCTGTTGGCAGTTATAATCTATACAGTAAAGTAAGGTACATGGATAAATCTGCTTTAATTCCATCAAAATTCTTTTATGCTCTACCTTTGTCTTGTTTCAGGTATACTCAGGTGCTAGGCCTTTGTTGGAGAAAACGATGAAAATTTTGGTCGAGGGTTTGGTCGACATCTTTCTTAGTCTTTTTTATGAGAACAAGGCCAAGGATCTCAGAATGTTGGATGCAAATGGTTTTTGTCAGCTCATGCTTGAGGTAAGTTATGTACTCCCTCCGATCCATATTAATTGTCGCAGACTTAGTACAAAGTTAGTAGAACTTTGTGCTAAATCTGTGTCAATTAATTTGGGCCAGAGGGAGTAGTTACTTTTGTTTACCGTAGGATTATTAATGAGCCTTTACTATGCAGTTGTTCAACTAGTGAAGTTAAGCACTCTCCTTTTTGTTATATGCTTGCAGCTTGAGTATTTTGAAACCGTGTTAAACACATACTTCTCTACTGAGGCACAACAAGCTCTGAAATCTTTGCAAGAGAGTTTGTTGGAGAAGGCCTGTGAAAGTGGCAGTGAAGATGCTGCATCAGATGATAAACAAGTGCCATCAGTATCACCCGATGATTTGCTTGTAAGTACTCCAAACATTCATGCCTGTCCACGAATTGTGATACATGAAAAATTCATCTAGTAGAGTACCATCACAGTAATCTATTGAAATATAGGCGTGCTGTGTAAGCCTTGATATTTATGATCCTTTGGACTAAGCTCGATTACATTGAAAAGTGTTCTTTAGGGTAAGTTTACTTTTGCAACGGACATTGTATAATCGGAAGTCTGTGTTTTCCCCAGGCTCTTGCTCAGCAACACGGCAGTGATCTGCTGCAAGGGGAGCTGGAGAGAACCCGATTAAATATAGCATGTTTTATGGAGCCAACTCTTCAATCAGGCTCGAAAACTTCAGCTTATTCGTCTTACCAGGCACCAGCACCACATCATCCCCAGGCTCAAGTCTCCTCCCCTAGTTTTAGAAGGCAGCAGCAGACAAGTTCAAATTCTCCCATAGTCTCTAGAAGACGCCGATGAACTAAATGCTGAGAGCAACATTTTCTTTATCGACCTCTTCCTTAAACTCCCTTTTTTTAAAAGGAAGTCCCTCTTTTCTTGGGTTGCTTGTAATTTTTTCCATTCATTGTAATTAGCATCATGTTGTGTATGTTGTGTATTATGAATTTTGATCCATTCTTTTGGTGTTGTATGATAAAAGGGCAGGGTACAGGTGCTGCTGTACGGGACTTTGTACTTGTATAATCTCCAGGAACTGGAATTGTTATTTCCATGTTTTCAGAAGATACCACTGCAAATTATACTTGTTTTGAACCAAGTGATACTCCCTCCATTCCTTAATATAAGCCTTTTTTAGACATTCCAATATTACATATGGAGCAAAATGAGTAAATCTACACTTTAGAATGCGTATATATACATCTGTATGTAGTCTGTATTGAAATCTCTAAAACGTCTTGTATTTAGAAATGGACGGAGTAGATCTTATCTTGGGTCGTCTCCCGTTAAATGTAATGATGACTCCTGTTGTCTGAGCCTACGTTTGAACCTCACACTGTTTCAGCTGAGCGTGTATATTCTAGGCTGAGTTGACTGAGTTGTTGCATACTCGAGCAGACAAGGTGTTGCGTATATTAGTTTGTGCACTAGTATATACTCCCTCCGTTCCGAATTACTTGTCTCAGAAATAAATGTATTTAGAACTAAAATACATCTACATACATTCATTTCTGCGACAACTAATTCCGAACGGAGGGAGTACATTGTACAGTTGAACCTGGGTTGTAGTAATTGTATTATTTGGTACTCACTCTATAAACTAATATAAGAGCGTTTAGATCACTACTTATATTAGTTTATGGGGGGAGTACTTGTCTACAGCATACACCTCCGGCTTCCTCAAGAATTTGCTAGGATTGAGGGGATCTTCTGATTGTAATTGAATGGAAGATAAGATCAGCACTTTGATTTGTCTCGCATTGTTGTCAGCAAGCACGTGTTGCAGGCTCGAGATCCGGCTTCTGCCTCCAGTAGTCAGCACAGCGCAGCAGCAACGGTTTATATATTTTCCTTGAAACGGGACCTACACTACACGGCTATGCGCAGGACAGTTGCATCTGCACCCACTTGCACTGCTACGCAACATGCCGTGGTCGACTCCTCGGGAACGAACAAGGCACCACAACACAAGAACGTTATCCTCCCAGACCCCCGTGTCCACGACTCCACGTGTTTGCACTCTCCCAGACCCACCCAGAGGCCAGAGCTGCATATCTCCGCCCCGCCAATCAACGTGTCCCAGTAGCAACCTCACGCATGGAGGAGAGGGAGCATGGTGCAGCCCAAGAGTAGGCCCCGCGAGTGAGCCCGCCCGCCCTCCGCCCTGCCTGCCATGGCAGCCTCCCTCCTCCTCCTCTCCCCCTCGCCTCACTGCCACTGCATTACCACGCCCACCAGGGGAACCGGAACGCCGCTGCCTTCCCCGCGGTGCCACCCACCAGCTCCGCGGCGCCGGCCGCGGCCGCGGGGCGCGGGGCTGGTGGCGAGAGGCGCCGCGGTGCCTCCCGAGCAAAGCTTAGCGCCTCACTACGAGACTCTGGGCGACGCCAAGTCTGCGCTGTACCAAGCTCTGGAAGGTTTGCTGCTGCTATTTGGTGCTTGGTTTCGTTGGTGCTTCTGAACTGGACTCTTGATTCCCGTCTCTACTGTTCTGGCAAAAGGTATCGACAGAGGAATATTTGGCATAACCTCCGCGAAAAGGTCCGAGATTCATGCTCTGGTGGAGCTCTTGGAGTCCCGGAATCCTACACCGAATCCCACCGACAAATTGCACGACAAGGTACACAATCTGAATATTCTTCTTCCAATCAGTTTTTGTAGTATAATTCAGCTATGGGTCGCGGTAAATTGAAGTGTTGACTCGTCGTCCTTCCATGCTTTTAAGCTTAAGTGTGACTGCTAGAAAGAGTTACGCTGGCTTGGGCAGTTAATAGTAGATGCCAAATTTTTTAAAAACCAGAGGAACACCTGCAATTACTGACTCTGGGAAACTTGAGACGATGCAAGGTGGACGGCTGCTGGAGGCTCATCTATAGCACCATCTCGATTCTGGGGAAAAGGAGAACCAAGTTAGGCCTGCGAGATTTCATCAGCCTGGGGGATTTCTTCCAGATAATCGATGTCAAGGAGGTTAGTCAAACGTTGCCCATCAAATTTCAGCAAACCAATGCTACATTTTTCCTTTTCCTTTTTAATTTGTTCTATAATTCTTGTATGTATGTACTCTGTAGCCCCAACTGTACAATTTATGCTTTTACAGCTGTGTAGCGTAGATTTTGAATAGTGTAATGTTAAATGATAATCTTGTGCCCTGAACTTAGCATTGAAATGCAACGAAATTAGGATTCATACACAATGCCAGAAACATAGGATTTGTGTTTTAACTGTACAAGTAGTTCATGAAACTGAGTGCTATTGTAAAGATTCTAGTACTTCCCAACCAAGTAAGTTTTGATTGTTGGTATATCTTGAAATAAATGGAGATTTAGCGTCACTTCTGTACACCCAAAGGAAAAGGCGGTGAGTGTCATAAAGTTCAGCGCAAGAGCATTGAAGATATTCTCAGGCCAACTTGCTATTGAAGCATCCTACACTATCACGACAAAAACAGTAAGAAATTCTATGCTGGCATCTCTCATGTCTAAAAATTTCATGTGTCTGACTGCTAATTGACGTAAGCCTGTAATTTCCTCACAGCTTGTGGTGTCTTGTTTCAGAGAGTGGGTATCAAGCTTGAGAGTTCAACAATCACCCCAGATCAGGTACAAGTTGTGATCTTTATTGTATCAACACCCAATACATAGTTATCCCCTGCGAAATGGGAAAAAGTTTTAAATGTTAATGTCGCTACCAAAATGAACAAAACTAAATTCAGGGCCAATCACTCGTATCTTTTGTTTGGTGACAAGAACGACACCTTGGACTATGTTTATTTGTGGAACAAGAATGATACCATGGTCTTTCACTTACCTAATGTTTATTTTGACCGTTTGTCACATTGGGCTATGCAGTTGATGAATATCTTCCAGAAGAACTACGACATGCTCCTTGCCATATTCAACCCAGAAGGTTGGCTTGAGATAACGTATCCTTTTGGTGTTGCTGAGTGCTACTCTACACTTGATTGATTTTTCGAATTGGTGTTTCTGCCTGTTTTTTTTCCTCCCAAATTGGTGTTTTTGCCACTCTTCTATTTATACATATAGCAAACCTACTTCATGTATATAGTCTTCCTCATCAAATTTTACTAGATATGTTGACGAATCTCTACGGATCGGCAGAGATGACAAGGCAAACATCTTTGTTCTGGAGAAAACAGACCCATCTCAAGTGTAAGAAGATCTACGAAGCAAAATGTGTGCAAATATTCGTAATTTCTGACAATGAGTGCATCGACACTCAGAGAAGAGGCCACATTAACGTATTCCGCGGCACAAATGATTGTTAACAGCTCAGTGCAGATCATCGATTCAACCACTCATCAATTTCTCCTGAAAAGGATAAGCAGCATTCTTTTTTACGACTGTAGAAACATTTGTTTTTTGGATTTTTTTAGCTGTGCACTGTCAATGTATCAATGTAAGTATGTAACTATGAAAGTTCAGTTACATAGAGAATCAAACTGCCCCATCACAGGGAGCAATTAAACAAATATCCAATTTTGAAATACAATTTTTTTTTCAAATACCTGTCAAAGTTTCAAATACTACGAGTACTATTCGCTTATCGCTCGTCTTATTTGTACCGGGATTTCTTTAAATGTTTGACGAAATTTTGCAGCCTCACAAAGATTGTAAAACGACCTACATATGCACAATTTTGTTTTAAGAGTCATGCAACATGGGATGAGCTTGGCATATAGCATCATGTAATTAAACCTGAATAAATGTGTACATGTAGCATATTTTCTCTTTGCCTTCTCATCTAAGGTACCCTGCCATATTTTCTTAGAACGGGTACCCTGCAATGTGGGCATCCTTAAATTTTGGAGTCTACTCCAAATCAAGACCACGAGCCTCAGTATTTGGCGGCTGGGCGAGGAGTTACAGCATGCTCTTCATCCACTCAAATCTTGGCACCACAAACATTTCAGGACATGTCTACTACACACTTCTATTCTTTTAGAGTCTTTTGATCCTCCAAGCGCAGAGGACTGTAGGACAACAACATTTTCTTAAGTGAGTGACCTAAGGTTTATCAATCAACGGGAGGCATATGTCGAAAGTGTTCTGTCTTAAACAACCTTGCAACCAAATACAAGTAGTCTCTTCTGTCCTCACCACATCCATTTTTTTTGAAAGGCACACAATACAATGTTAATTATATATGTGCACTATTTTGGCGAAGAAATTGATAATTTGGGTGATAGATTGATAGTTTGGATGGTAATAATATTTTTGTACTTTCGGAATAAATATGGAGTAAAATAGTATCTCAATGCTAGGAAATAAGGCCTAGGGTTCATAATTCCACTAGTGCGAACTCTCAACATCATTAACATAGTTTAAACACATGATATATCCTCAAAATATGTGGTAAAGAATCACTCCAAAGTTTCTCTTTTAATTAGACCAAAGTGGGATGAGTGTAGGTATGGCCGAGCATACCAATTATCTTTCTAATCCATAAGGCACACCCCAATGTAACCTCAGACAACTCCAAAAATTATGCTAAACAATCACCTTATGATCTTTATCGTTCTAACCATGACCCATAGTCATCCCAATGTCACTATGGGTATCTCTGAAAGATATACTAGATATGCATGACATAATCTCATTGATTCCCAAAAGATTCAATCCAATATAAAGAAACTCATAGCATGCGCATGATTCATTTAGCACAAAAATAATATGATGGATACATCACATTGTTCAACTTTATTAACAAAACCCATGATCACAATCAAGATTGGAAACCTACATGATCAAGGGAGAGATATATAGAACACATAGCCACTACCACATACCCTCGGACCTAAGGGAGGAATGTTCACACATCACCATTAGAAGGAAGAGAGAGTTGTTGGTGATGTTGACGGAGATGGCGGAGACGTCCCCGATAGCATTTCGACGCCACCAGAGGAGAGGAGGAACCTCCCCTCCTTCTTCTTCCTTGGCCTTCTCCCCCAGTTAGAGGGATTTCCCCCCTCTGGTTTTCATGGCTATGGTGGTTTCGAGATGAGAGTCTTCCCTGAGGTTGGATCTAACTTTCGGGGGAGCTATTTCTAGATGCTGAAATCTAAGTCTCGTCACCCTTTTTACTTTCCACAAGAGATCCATAAGCGGTAAGATCACAAACAATTCAGGTCGGTTCAAAAACTTCTATACCAAATTAGTTTCCAAAGGACGCCTCAATCCGAGTAACAGAACTATTTTTTTTGTAATTTTCCGTCCTTGATTTTTTTTCTGCAATCGAGAAAAAAAATTGAAAAATGAATTGGCCTTTACACTAGATTAATATGTTATTCCAATCAAAATAAGATAATTTTTCCAAAACCCTATATAAATGATGTGAATAAAGCATGAATACTTCAAAAATTATAGATATCTTTGGGACATATTAACATCCCCAAGCTCAATCTATGCTCGTCCTCGAGCATGTAGATGATAAAAGAATATTTTTAAAAGTTTGGGAATGCTATAATAGAGCACAACTTTGAGCACATAGAGAATGATAGTTCTAATAACAAGAAGCATTATTGTATCAAGTTCAACATAACATCAAGTGATAACGAAGTATCTCGCAAATCTTACAAGAGTATATTACAAACATAAAGTAGTGAATAAACATCTGTGAAGTAAGGATAATGATCAGGTACCCCAAACATGAAGATGAATGATACAAAGCCTTACAATGTTGCTGATCGCAATGCAGTCTTGATTAAAGTAATTGAACAATGGAGATGGTGGCTATGGCTATGGAGATGAAGATGTGAAGCCAGGTTGATGACAGTTGCATGGCGGTTGGCAAGGTGAATTGACCATCTATCCTCATGGGGTTCTTCCTCCTCCTTTATATAGTGAAGATAACACAATAAGTTTTTGGGGCCCGTCTGTTGCGAATTAGGTTCAGGCCCTTTGGTAAAGTTTTCTCAGGATGCCATCACAGAGGCTACCAAGTGTCTTCCTCTCTTCTGCCGCCTCTGGTGTGTGCCAAATTATATGAAAATGATCCTCTCGTACAGTACATCCCATATATGACTTGATTTCCACAAAAAATTGTCCATGTATGTAAGGAATACAATAAACAAGGAGATTTACACATCTTTGCATTTATTAGCGATCAGGGTGCAAGTTATCTGGATAAAACACATAATATATCTGAGAATATCCGGTTTAACAAGGATAGAAATTAGTGTAAAAACCACTCATGAGCCGCCAAGATTCTCGTGCCGCCACCATTAGGTGCCACATCCGTCGCCGGGCCACCGTGATTTTTGGCCCCGTTTGCCTCCACTAAGTCGTTCCCGCACCTCCCATGCTTCGTCGCAGCCCTGCGCCTGCTTCCCGCCGTTTGGTCTGATACATCTCCAACGTATCTACTTTTCCTAACGCTTTTCCTCTTGTTTTGGACTCTAATTTGCATGATTTGAATGAAACTAACCCCGGACTGATGCTATTTTCAGCAGAACTACCATGGTGTTGTTTTTGTGCAGAAATAAAAGTTCTCGGAATGGAACGAAACTTTGCAAGGATTTTTTATATAAATAAAGTGAATTTCCGGAGCCAAGATCCACCAGAAGGGGGCACCTGGGTGGGCACAACCCACCAGGGCGCGCCCCCTCCTGGCGCGCCCAGGTGGGTCGTCCCCACCTGGTGGCCCCGCAGACCTCAACCCTGATACTATAAAATCACATATTTGGAGAAAAAAATCAGGGAGAAAGAATTATCGCGATCCACGAGACGGAGCCGCCGTCACCTCCTGTTCTTCATCGGGAGGCCAGATCTGGAGTCCGTTTGGGGCTCCGGAGAGGGGGATCTTCGTTCTTTGTCATCATCAACCCTTCCCTATCGCCAATTCCATGATGCTCCCCACCGGGAGTGAGTAATTCCTTCGTAGGCTCGCTGGTCGATGAGGAGTTAGATGAGATTCATCATGTAATTGAGTTAGTTTTGTTAGGGCTTGATCCCTAGTATCCACTATGTTGTAAGATTGATGTTGCTATGACTTTACTATGCTTAATGCTTGTCACTTTGGCCCCGGGTGCCATGATTTCAGATCTGAACCGTTTATGTTATCAACATTATATCCATGTTCTAGATGCGATCTTGCAAGTTATAGCCACCTACTACGTGTTATGATCCGGCAACCCCGGAGTGACAATAGCCAAGACCACTCCCGGCGATGACTGTAGTTTGAGGAGTTCATGTATTCACCATGTGTTAATGCTTTGTTTCGGTTCTCTATTGAAAGGAGGCCTTAATATCCCTTAGTTTCCAATTGGACCCCACTGCCACGGGAGGGTAGGACAAAAGATGTCATGCAAGTTCTTTCCATAAGCACGCATGACTATTTATGGAATACATGCCTACATTATATTGATGAATTGGAGCTAGTGCCGCATCGCCCTAGGTTATAACTGTCTCATGATGAATATCATCCAACAAGTCACTGATCCAGTGCCTACGAATTTATCTTATATTGTTCTTGCTAAGTTACTACTTCTATCGTTACTATTGCACTTGCTACAAAATTATTGCTATCAGTGTTACCATTACAATTGCTGCTGTTACTATTATCAAAACTATCATATTACTTTGCTACTGATCACGTTGCTGTAGATAATTAATCTTCAGGTGTGGTTGAATTGACAACTCAGCTTCTAATACCTTCAAATATTCTTTGGCTCCCCTTGTGTTGAATCTATAAATTTGGGTTGAATACTCTACCCTCGAAAACTGTTGTGATCCCCTATACTTGTGGGTTATCAAGACCTTATTCTAGCGCCGTTACCGGGGAGCATAGCTATATTTGTTGAGTCACTTGGGATTATTACCAATTTATCACTATGAAGAATATGAAGGATGCTAAGACTAAGATTTATCCCTCTAAGACGAGGGGAGGTAAGGAACTATCATCCAGTTCTGCTTTAGATTCACCTTCTGTTATAAGTAAACTTGCAACACCAACACATGCTATTAATCTTGATATGTCGCAAGTTATTGATGATGCTACTTCTGCTATGAATGATACTTATGATGATGCTAGTACCTTGCTTAATGATAATGATGTGTCACTTGGTGATTTTCTTGATGAACAAATTGCTAGAGTAATACAACATGATGTTGTTGAATCTGATGATGAGCTTGAAACTGAAACTCCTAAAACACCTG